CGCTGATTTTAGTCGGACCTGGCACAGGCGTCGCCCCATTTCGATCGATACTTGCGTTCCGAAAAAAGTACGCATTTCTTTGTGTCTGTACTGTTTGTTTTGTAGTGCTCGAGTGCCACACTGAAATTTTTGTTGGCTGCAAATCCATGTTGAATTTTCAGGGAATTACATGGAGAAAAGGAAAATTCCATGTTGTTTTTTGGATGTCGCAGCGAAGAGAAAGATTTCTACTTTAGAAAAGAGTGGCACGTGCTGAGCGATGCCCGTGTTATCACAGCGTTTAGCAGAGACCAACAAAACAAGGTTAGTCAAATTACTGGAAATGTGTACATCCTCTCCGATTTGTGTGAGCTGTCGATGTGCAGCTGGTTTTTGTGCTCTAGAACGTACTGCTAGGAACTTATTCCGTGATAAATTCGGATAGTAAATCATATAACGCATTTAAGTGGCTCCGAGCAAGCAGACTCCAAAAGGGGAAGCAGTCGAGCGCACTGTGAGCGGAAGATGCTGGCGGCAGAGAGCGAGCTGCAAATAAACTCTCACTTATTTGAGCTGGTGAAGTCCAAAGAAGCTACTAAATATGAGCTGTGTGCCAGAAATAGTGCATTGGGCCGGATTTGTTACATCTTTTTTCAAAGCTGCTTACAGATTTATGTACAACACCGGATTGAAGAACATGACGATGAAGTGTGGCATCTGTTGAATAACGTCAACGGTAAGCACAGTAGGATATTTTGCCGGTCGAGTGCGGTCATGCACTGTTGCTCATTTTCCCACACCTCTTTCGTATATTACTAGAACACGGCTCGGTCCAGGTCGGCTCGGCTTCTACACGAGCTGCAAAAAATTTCTTTTCCGGAAGGCAGGTAGGGTTGCCCCACGCCAGATGGCGGTAGTTTGAATGTGGTGCCAGCGTAAGTAAAAAAAAAAAGTAGAAGAGGAGGATTTTTATGGCTTTTCAGGTCGCGCACATGTGATGTGTGACGTATAGGGTAGGCGCATTTTACAGGCCCTTGAGGTCATCTATACACCTCCTGCCTTGGCCACGCCCGCATTCTCGTATATAAGCCCAGTTTTTGGGCACAAAACTCAGCCTCTCCGGTCCATTCGGACTGAGTGGCGGGGGCAAGTTGTTCGCCCACTACCCTCAGTCCTCACAACTAGGGGGGAGGATGTGCGGCTTAGGGGGACTGAGTGGCGGGGGTGAGTTTGGTCGCCCACTACTCTCAGTCCTCACTACCAGAGGGAGGGGAAATGGGGAAATTTGATGCTTAGTAAGAGAGAGGGGGGAGGAGAAGACATATCTACACCCACTAACCGCCGCTCACCCCTCCACGCACCCTCACAGCCACGGCTGCCCCTCTACTACCCCGCCTTCCTACCAATCAGGTCATACAGCCGCTGCGGCCTGGGTAGCTTTTCTGGCATGCTGCCAAACGATCCCAGTGAGCGACGCCACGAAACACCGTTGCCAGAGATGACAGAGGGCTTCCCAAGCACCAACAACCACCAGCCGAGCTGAGTTGTAGTTTTTGCCCTTCTTTTCTTGGAAACGCCAGTCATAAAAGTATTCAACGTGTTGTTGATGTGGGTTCCGGTTGTTCGGCGCATGTAGTTGTTCTCGGGAACTAGTGCTTTCGCAGCTTATTTATACCACTTTGTTCCCCGTGTGTGCGGGTTTGTACGCGGTAGCACGTCGATGTGTTAGGCTGTGCTGGCTGGTGCTAAAAGGTTTCGAAACGTAAAGTATTTTAGGCCATATCTTCATAGCGGGCAGAGCTGGTGATATGCCGCGTGAAGTGACAGAATGTGTACAGAAAATCGCAACTGAAAAAGGGAGTGAAGACTGCAAGAAATTCATGCAGATGTTGGAAGCAGGCGGTAGGATACAATTCGAAACGTGGAACTGAATTGATGAACCGAGCGAAGATTTTCGCCACGCAGTTCACAGATTGTTTGGGTTCTTATGTGCGTTGAATTTTCCAGTATTGTTACATTGTTACCACCATATCTTATGTGTTTAATATGGCACTTCATGAATAGTTGACCTCTCAACTAACAAATTCTTATGCATTTTGGCATAATCTTTTTATTCCCGTGGAGGAAGCCGGAGTGATTTAAATCGATGACAAAGATCTAAAAAGAACTCGCATCACGATTTTTCGGCACTGGGAATCCCCCTGTAATGGTATGCTAGACTTCTGCTTGCTCCTATCCCCAGCAATTATTTGCAATGAATACTTTGTCATAGCGGATGCCCCGGGACAAATATTGCTGTTTTCAAACAAATAGATATTTTTGAATTTTATTTAGTTCATTCCCGTTTAGCAACAAGTCCTTCTCACGCTGCTAATAGAGGTATTTGTTGAAAAACAAGCAAATTTTTGCTCTCCCATCTGGATTTTTGGAAGATCTGTCCGGAGATTCAAAAGGACAGCATGGTATAAATACTAAAAGAAGATTCTTTTGCTTTGTACAGTTCAGTGAGAATGCCCGCTGGCGAGCAGTGTCGGACACATGGCACCAACAACTATTGAAAGTAATTCTTTGAGCGTTAGCGGTGCTCCAGCTAAGCCATGCGTGTGTGCACCACCTTCAGGACTGTTACTAACCAGCTGTTGGTATCCGCCTGTACCGGAGTTGACCTGAAAAGGCAGTAAGAGAAGTTCAAATATGTAAGATCTTTTGAAGACTGTTTGCAAGTCAATTTCTGGGAGTAAGAGCCATTTTTGTTGCAAAAGTGAGGTATTGGAGATGGCGGCTGCTCCTTACAAATTCAGATCTGCCGTGAATTTTAGTTGTTCAGGCTTCTTTG